GAAAAAGAAACATTCACGTACGTCGAGTGTGACACAGGTCGCCTAGGTGTGATAAGTTGCAACTTCTCGGAAATGAAAGATATATTACTTTGTTTCCTATTGTTAAATGTCTGGATGATTATCAAGTGACTGCTTGGTGGCAGCAATACAATGATACAGAAATACTGAGCTTTTTCACAGTGATTAAGTAAATAACAAATGGCAAGAAAAAATAAAACTGCTTATTTTTTTTCGAAAATATAGTAAAATTTTCTTATTATATGAATAGCATTGTTATTAGATGAAATTATATCGATATGCATCTGATATAACTCTTAGACTTTATGTGAATAACTTTTTTTTCTATTTTTAGAATGAGCTTGTATCATTTCAAGTATATTGATAAAAGACAAATAGTCGCGAATGTCGTGAATAATGTTGGGAAGCTCCATACTATTAAAGTTATGACTTTACTCGCCAGAATGGCATCGTCAGACTTTACCACTGAAAGTTTTACTACTAGCACATTATCTCACAATACAGCTACTAGAGAAAATCTAGTTGAAAATAATAGCTGCAAAGTGTATCAAGCTCTATTAGAGACAAACATGGCAACAAAAGTTGGCCTAATCGCATTGGATTGCTTGGATTTCTTCTATATTCATTTTAAAATAATAATTATTAAGCGAATTTTATGTTTTCTTGATTTTATGTGTAAATGATTTCCTAAAACACGTTTATTAATGCTCCCGTTTAAAGCAACTACTAATATGTCGCAAAAATTGATTGTCAAAGATTGAAAGACTGATTGACCATTTTTAGGTAATACAATCAATAAATATTTATTTAAAGACATCAAAAAGTCAATACAAGCATGTTTATAGATTTTGAAGATAAATTTAAATATAAGTATTTAAGATACATATAGTATTTTTAATCATATTAATTTCAAATATTCACAAAATATTAATATAGTTTACTTTTTTTAGGATATTCTTTTTGCGAATGAAAGCGATAACGTTGTTATGCAAGAGTTTTTCAATATTTTATTTATCATTTCTTCAAGTCCGATAAATCCGAGACATTACTTCGTCACGTTTTTATTAGACTTCGAGACTTTTTTTGAATAATTATTCTATTGCGCTTTTTCAAGGTGAATATTTTTTTAAGATTTTAGAAACTTTAGTTTTTTTTATAACGGAAAAGAAATAAATGCATAATTAATCATCTTTGATGATAAACAGCATATGATAGATATATAAAATATGCATAGAGTTTGAATATATTTTTTCTTTGTAGGCAATGCTGTGCTTTGCGGTCGCTTATGTTATGAATTGCTGTAATAGTAAGCTAAGTTCCATATAACAGGAATCCTATGCTTTAGTATGTTTGCTCACGCAAAGTAATTTTGAGTTTACTAGTCGGAAAGGACCAGAGTGCATTTGCAGATACAGCAAAATTTTAAGTTTGTTTTATTTATGCCATACGTTTTTATCTTTTTGTTGATTTTAGCAGAATTGAAAGCTTTAAAATCTATTACATGTTTGTAGGTGATAATTTTACTTTCTCAAATGTTGAAGGATGTAATTAGTCTGAACAATTCATGATTTTAAGAATCGTTATCATTAATCAACAGCTATGCCTCTTTTAATAAAGTGATGAAGAGTACAGGTTTTTCAATTAAAGTGAAAGATTTTAATAAAAGAATACAAACAGTTTTAATGGCAATTGCGCAAATGCGGGAACATGACCTTGAGATGCTAGTCGACAACATAGTTTGGCTAATTCTTATGCCAGCATACCCGAATTGAGACATACATCGTTGGAGATGATGGCTAGGAATCATATCAAAGATGGCAATTTCTCAGAGGTGCATATTTTTATTATGTTGACATAAAAATATATTTTTATGTATTTTAAATATTTATTCAATGTTATTCTTTCAATGAGATTCTTAACGCATATTTTAATAACATATACTTTTAATTTTTAAGACTGCTTATTATCAATGCATATAGCAGCGCTAATGGCTGAATATTTGAAATTGCGGAAAGTTCATCCGTGGAGCGCAGAGGTTTTTGATTAAATTTTCATGAACATATTAAAAGACGAACGGAATCTCAAACTTAATGTTGGTGAGATTGTATGTTTTTACTGTATTACATGTTTATCCTTTGTAAGCGCTTTTATTGTGTTACATGTATGTATAAATCAAGAATAGATATAAGAAATATTAATCTGAAAGTGTTCAAGATTTTTAGATGCAAGATATTCAATATAACGAAAGTTTTTTACTCAAACAATTAGAAGTTTGTGTCGATACGTTGGAGAAAACCGAGCATTTCGAATGGCAATTGCTTGGCACTTATATTGTTTAATAGTTCTCATGTACGAAAAGAAGAAAAATTACAAAGCTTTAGCTTACTCGCATTTGACGCAAGCCTATAATAAAATTATAGAAATGATACGGACTGGAAAGAGATTGTTCGGGAGGCTTTACAGAGTAGCATTCTTTGGCATGGTAAGATACATTATTACTTCAGAATGGATATTTTTGTAATTCAAAAAAAATTTATACATGCATAATCAAACTTATAATGAAGAAATAACGAAACTTGTCATCAAGAAAATCATAAAATAACAAAATTGACACATCCATTATTTAGGCATACTTTGAAGAGGAGAATGGCCAAGAATACATCTATAAAGAATCCAAAATGACATCATTGTATGAGATATCTGAACGATTATTGCGTTAGTATAGTGAAAAGTTTGGATCTGAGAATTTTAAAATGAATTCTGTATCGGTCGATATAAATAAATTGGATCCCAAGATAGCGTACATTTAGATAATGCCATTACTTTGAAAAATTGGAATTAGAAGTGCGACAAATCAAGTTCAAACAGAATCACAACGTGTCTTTATGTTTGAGACGCCATTCACTAAGGAGGGCAAAGTAAGAGACAATCCAAAGGATCCAATCCAATGGAAACTATTCTCACAAGTATGGTTAAATGTCAAATTTCTAATAATTCAATTTATTTATATTTGACATCTCACTTTCTTGAGAAAGAAATATAAAAATTTTATATATTAATATATAAAAAAATTTTTTACAAACTTAAGTTTGTATGTATATTTTATATAACAAAAAACATATGTATCTATAATGTAAAAGAAAACATTTATGTTTGTAATGTTTGTAATGTTTATGTTGATATTTGAAATATTCCACAATAATAAAAAGCTTTGTACAGAGAATTGCATTTAATTTTTTATTATATAATATCATTATTAATATTATTATAAATATCGCTTAAAGTTGACTTATTTATTAACTAATAGTTTACTTAATGTCGACTAAAAAGTCGACATAACCATCGTAACCTAATCGATGTCGACTTATAACATTGGCTGAAAGTCGGCTTATTGTTTGCCAAAAGTCAACTTAGTCGCCATAACCAAGTAAAAAGTGTCGGCTTATAGTTGTCATAAAGTCGACTTTAAGTCGACTGATATGGCTGATTTATAGCCAACTATAGTTGGGACATTTGTCGACTATTAGTCGGTTATAAGTTGACATTCGGTCTAACTTTAAAATCGACTTTAGACTTCTGCCGATTTTATGACAACTATAAGCCGACACTTTTTACTTTATAGTCGATTTTGTGCTGTTTGGGGTTGTATACATCAATGAATTTCGATATCTTTTAAAGTTATTAATATATTTTGATTCATTTTCAATAAATATTGAAAATAAATAGATCAATATGTGCTTATCCTAATAGCACACGATATCATTCGAATATTCTACACTCACTTCTACTGAACTCATACTGAAAGTACTGTGGTCATATGTACTATTGTCTAATATATCAGAGAACATTCATATAATATCTTGATGGTATAGGATAATTAATTTGTATTTATTTTTAAATATTTAAATAAAAGCGGATTCTTGTCAGAATGTCCGTTGATGTGATTTTTAATGTTCGAATTCAAGCGAATGCCCATTATGGTTGCGATTTGAAATTAGAGTTGTAGCGGTATCTAGTGCCTTGCCCGGAAGGCTGCGCAGGCCCTGCCTTGCCAAGGAAGGCCGGTTCGAGTTCGTCACAGATCTGAAAGGCAGATGCGGGCAGTGAAACTAAAACGCGCTACGATTTGAATTTCGACCGTCGCCAGCAACGTCTCGCGAAGTTCTGACTGGGTCACTTTTATTACTGTACACTCAATCAACAGGACTAGAACGTGTCAAAGTCATAACGACGAACGAACAAAAACGCGATATTTACAACGATCTAGAAAACCAATAATACAGAACGACGAGGTCGCACGTACAATGCCAGCAAGGGCACCGCGAACACGGGAGCAACGCGTGACAATGTTTTTCTCACGTAGCGTACAATGCCTGCAAGGGCACCGCGGACGCGGAGGAACGTTCGAGAACTAACTGCTAGAAACGGTATGACGCGACGAGCAATGAAAAGAAAGAACGCACGAGAAAATATGTCGCTCGTAGGGAAGAGCGAAGCGCCTGAAACGCACGGCGCGTGAGCGCGCAAGGCGCTCGCGAAACGCAGGAAAAACGCAGACTAAGATATACGACACGGACGGAAGACAGGACGGCGCACGTCTACTAGCTAACGGAACGCGGGCGCGGATAAGACAGAGCGCACGCGAAAATATATGACGACATGATTTTGCGCGCGAAAGAACAACGAAACTGGATGACGCGGGTGAACGCGGAACGCGGCTGCAAAGCCTGCAAAGATACGGCTATGAACGACACTCGCGAGCGAGAGAGAACCGCACAGTCGAACACTCACAGGCGCGAGAATGACGGAACGTGACTAGCCGGAGAGAGACACCTCTCACGCGTGAGAGAAAGAGCAAGACGAGATCTCGCGCGAGCGAGAAGAGAGAGCACGAGCGCACTCGCGTGTGCGCGCAAGCGAGAGAGG